GCGTTGCTGTACAGATCGCAAAGCCAAAGAGAATGAGGTAAGCTGCTTTGCTCCCCGCTAATGAGAAAGACAGAATTTTGCCTAGAAAGAGGCTGCAGAGAGGGGAGGAGATAAAGTTGCCAGCTTTAGGTATGGAAATTCCTGGAGATTTGAGGGGTGGAGCCTGGGTAACAATTGTTACCACTCTCCAGTTGAGGGCTAGAGATCACTCAAAATTACAACTGCTCTTCAGGTAGCACAGAGCAGTCCCTCTGGAGAAAACAATGGACTCTGTCATTATACCCTGCTGAGGTCGCCACAGCAAATTGACACTGTTTGCCCAAAGCCAGAGCACTCTCCCAGAGCCTCTTTCTAGATCTCGTTGTATTTATTTCCACAACGGGCCTTATTTCTAGTATATATATATATGAGAGAGAGAATATACTGAGTGTATAAGCCTGTCAGAGTGAAGTCTGAGAGACTGTTTGTAACACCAAGTTTATCAAGTTATATTTACAAGTTTTTTTCAGTAATAGTTCAAAATAACCAGAAACCTATTTTGTTTTTTATTAAATAAATCAATGTTTGTTTTAAAAACAGCCCAGAAATCAGTACTGTCCTTCCTCAGGGCCACATAGTCCTCTTAAGTGCCCAGACCCTGGGTCATGCTACCAAAAGAGAGAGAATTGGAATTTTAATTCCTGGTGGCAGCAGAAAACTTCCAAGTTTATGTACTCCATGAATGTTTAAAGGTAAAACCGTCTCCCTATAAGCAAGCACATCACACAAGCGTAATAAGATTTTAGCCGCTTATTAGTGCTTAGTTTGTAATGCGGGGGTGGTGGTGGTGGTGGGAAGTGCCGTCAAGCCACGTCTGACGTATGGTGACCATGGAGGGTTTTCAGGGCAAGAGAGGAGCAGAGGTGATAGTGGGACGATGGGCATATCGATGCCTTTGTGCTTTTGACATTCTGCCGAAGTATACAAATGCCGTCACTCTACCTTCTCTCCCTGGGGATAGGCTCACTAGGGGCTGACCCTGGTTAGCTTCTGAGATCGGGCTGGTCTGGGGCCACCCAGGTTAGGCCACGGCTGCTGCACAAATCCACAAAAAGCTAATTAATGACTACAAGTGTAACAGCATCATTTATTGAACTGTGTAATTATTTTTTTTTGGTCTTGATTCTTTCCCAGGCGCACAAGTGGATGGTTCATTGTAACGAGTATCTGGAGCATCTCTCAGCGGAAGCCAAATATTCCCCGTCAGCTATTCGGTGTTTGCAGAGCTACCACCAGGAAGCGGCGAAGGTTTCTGCCGAAAACTTCCAGAGAGTCAACGAGGTCATCCTTGCCCTGGGCAGCAAAGAGGAACTAAAGCGGTGGAATATCTTATGGCTGAAATGCCAGCAGGCCAAGCACCACTTAGAAGAGGTCCTTTCCGAAGCACTTAAAGGTTCCAGCGGAGAAGAAACCAGCAGGACGCTCCAGGAGGCTGGCCAAAGGGCTAGCCACAGCCTGGGAAGCGGATCTGGAACTCAGCACTGCCCCGCTGCTAGCGCTGACGATAGCAGCCTCTGGGACACGAAGTCGCTCTGTACGTTTCAGCAGGGCAGCCTACCCGTCGGTGCCTCTCCTTTTGTAAATCAGAGAGACGCCACTCAAAGCACAGAGGCGTTTCCGC